AGAGAAGGAAGCCATTGTGCTTCATTGTACCACTGCTGTGTGTTCGATTGCAGGCAGTCCACAGATTCCTGCTCCTTCAGAGTTCATTGAATGTTTTGGAAAGAGTTTCTTTGAGCAGAGTCAACCAAGAAGCAAAGTAACCTATCTGCTCCTCTATCCACCTTCTATCATCGCCTCCCCTTCGCTCTATTTATTTCAGAGCCCCCTTCCCCTCCCCCATTTCTGAAGAAGGGTCCAGACCCGAAACGTGAGCTTTCCTGCTCCTCTGATACTGCCTGGCCTATTGTGTTCATCCAGCTCTACACCTTGTTATCTCAGACTCCAGCATTGGCAGTTCCTACTATCTCTGAGCAAATTATATTAGCCTTGTTCTTGTGTAATATTAATTAATGACCTCATATTAAAGGCACCCCTAGATACTGTGGCTCTAACATGATTGAATTTTACATGAGTTTGAAGTGGGTGTAAGAAAGAACATCTGTATGGGCATGAAACCTGAGTTAGCTAAAGTGAACTTAAATACTACAGAGTTGGATGAATCAATGAAGAAGCAATGGCAGACATTTAAGGAAAGATTTCTGAATACCCTACTGTAGAGAAGGATTCTAAAGGGAGGACTGGCTATTTGTGGTCAATTAAAGAAGCTAAGGAAAGCATCAAACCTAAGGAAGAAGCAAAGATGAATGGCAGTACATGACCAAAAGGTTAATCAGCAGGAAAAGCGTATGGGAAGAAGCTATCTGGAAATGCAAAGGTTCCTACAACTATTCAAAAAGGAAAACAATCAATCAAGTAAGTGTTTTTCCCCTAAAAAGTGAGAATAAGAAGTTAATAATAAGGAACAAATTGTTGAAATGTATCAATATTTGCTTCTAACTTCATTATAGAAAATATAAAAAACACAAAGAATCATTCCACGTTATAGCTGTAAATCAGGAGGTGGAAGGGAGAGAGGAACTTGGTGAAATTGGTAACGCTAGGGAAGTGGTATTGACCAAACTAGAAGCTGATAAATCCCTGGTTCCTGATGGATTTCATCCCCCGTCTTAAAAAGAGGTACCTAATGAGATGGGCATGAGTTGGTGTTAATTTTCCAAACTTCCCTAGATTCTGGAAAGGTTTCAATGGATTAGAAAGTAGCAGATATATCACATTTAATCAACTTAATTATAATTCTTTTGAAGGAATGACCTTAGCTGGGGTAAAAGGGAGTCTGTAGATGTGTTTGAGTTTGTAGAAGGCATTTGACAAGGTGCCACATAAGACGTATTTGTGCAAAGTAGAAGTTTGTGGTGGTGTCAGCATTGATTAGAAAATTAGCTGGCTATAGCAGAAAACGGAGTATGCATAATTTGGTCCATTAATGATTGGCCAGATGTGACAAGTGGAGTTCTCCAGGGGTTTATGCTGGGGCCTCAGCTTTGTAGAATTTATATTAATGACTTAGATGAGAAGAGCAAAGGTATAGTAGCTAAGTTTGCAGAGGACACAAAGGTAGGTAGGAAACTGTGTTGTGAAGATGACATAACAAATATGCAGACCAATCTAAAATAAGTTGTGAGTGGACAAACATCTGGCAGATGGAGTAGAATGTGGGAAAATGCGAACTACTTCACTTGGCATATAGTGGTGAAGAGAACAAGGAGGAATGAGCAGACAGGGGCCTAGATAGAGACAGAGAACAGCGGATAAGCAGACAAAGAGATGAGAAAGAAAAAGGGACCATAAGTAGGTGAAAATGGGTTGCCTGTGGTGAAAGCAGCTCATGTCATGACAGGGCCTTGGGTGTTCGGTTGGGTAAAGGGCATGGAAAAATATGACAGGTTCTAAAGTTATTGAACTTGATATTGATTCTCCAAGGGTGCAGAATCCCCAGTCAGAAAATGGGATGCTGCTTTTCCAACTTAGGCTCAGCCTCGCTGGAGCACTGCAGCAGACCTGAGACACAGATGTTGGCCAAGGAACATGGTGTGTTGAAATGGCAAACAACTGGAAGGTTGGGTCACTTTTATGGGCAGAATGTAGATGTTGCACAAAGTAGTCATCCAGTCTGCATTTTGTCTTCCCAGTGTAGAGGAGCCATATTGTCAGCAGGTAATACAATAGACTAGATTCAGTGAAGTGCATGCAAATTGCTGCTTCACATGGAAAGTTTGTCTTGAGCCTTGGATAGTGAGGAGGGAGGAAATTAATGGGCAAGTGTTGCACCTTTTACGATTGCATGAGAAGATGCCTTGGGCTGTTGTGGAGAGGTGTTGGGTGGAAAGTGTGTTGTGGAGTAACGGTCCCTGCAAAATGCTGACCAGTGGGGGTAGGGAAATAAGTGGTGATGACATACCGATGAAAATGGCTGCTTATGATCCTTTGGATGTTCGTACTGGTGAGGACCAGGGGATCCTATTGGTGTTGTGGAGGGAAGAGAAGGGGTCTGAGGGCAGAAGTGCAGGAAATGAGTCTGAAACAGCTAAGGGCCCTATGAACCACAGTGGCGGGAATTCTTGGTTCAGGAAAAAGGTGGACGCTTCGAAGGCATCTCCTGCAGAAGGTCACATCGTCAGAACAGATGTGATGGAAAGAAACCTAGGAGAATGGACTAATTGTAGAAAGCAGAATGTGAGATTGTGTAATCCAGGTAAATGTGGAAATCAGTGGGTTTGCAGTGGATATCAGTGGTCAGCTTATCCCCAGAAATGGAAACACAGTTGTTGAGGAAAGGAAGGGAAGAGTCTGAAATTGACCAGCTGTGAAGGTGAGAGCAGGATGGACATTTGGAAGCAAAATTACTCAATTTCCAAATGACAGAAGGAAGCAGCACTGATGATATCATCAGTATACTGGGGGAAGGTATTGTTGGGAGGCACCCGAGTAGGATGGGAACGGGAATGTTTCGTGTTCCCCACAAGAGACAGGCATAACTGAGGCCCATTTGGATACCAATGGCCCCACCTCTGATCTGAAGAAAGTAAGAGGAGTTATAAGAGAAATTATTCAAAGTGAAGACAGAGTCAGTCAGGCAGAAGAGGGTGGTCGTGATTGAGATGGTTCAGGCCTACTTTCCAGGAAGAAGCGGCCTACCCTTAGGCCATCCTGATGTGGGACAGACGTGTAAAGGGCTTTACACGCTTTGAACAGCTTTGATCTTATTGAATGGCAGAACAGGTTAAGGGGCCATGTGGCCTACTTCTCTTAATTCATATCCTTACAATTTACGAAGTGGCATGCATCAGTTGCATCATAGCCGTACAGTGTGGAAACCAACACTTCGGTCCAATTCGTCCATGTTGACCAGGCATTCTCATTCTAAACTGAACTAGCCCCTTTGGCCCTATCCCTGTAAATCTTTCTATTCATATACCCATCCAGATGCTTTTAAAATGTTGTAACCCTACCTGCCTCCACCACTTCCTCTGGCAGCTCATTCCATATAGACACCACTGCCTGCATGAAAAAGGTATCCCTAAGGTCCTTTTTAAATATATCCCCTCTCACCTTAAACCTGTGCCCTCTAGTTTTGGATTCAACTACCCGAGGGAAGGGACCTTGGCTATCCATGCCCCACGTGATATGATAAACTTCTATAAGATCACCCCTCAGCCTCTGACGCTCCAGGGGGAAAAAAATCCCAGCCTATTCAGCTTCTCCCTATAACTCAAACCATCCTGTCCTGGCAACATCCTTGTAAATCTTTTCTGCACCCTCAAGTTTCTGCACCCTGATAGAAAGGCGACCAGACTTGTACATGGTATTCTTCTCCAATGTCTTGTACAGCCGCAACATGCAGTCCCAACTCCTATATTCAGTGTTCAGACCAATGAAGCCAAGCATGCTAAGTGGCTTCTTCAACACCCTGTCTGTCTGTGACTCCACTTTCAAGGAACTATGCATCTCCACCCCTAGGTCTGTTTGTTCAGCAGCACTCCCCAGGACTTAACTGTATAAGTCCTGCCCCGGTTTGCCTTACCAAAATGCAACACCTCACATTTATCAAAACTGAACTCCATCTGCCACTTCTTGGCACATTGGCCCATCTGATCAAGGTCCTGTTGTACTCTGGGATAATCTTCACTGTCCACTGCATCACCTATTTTGGTGTAATCTGCAAATTTACAAACCATGCCTCCTATATTCACATCCAAATCATTTATATAAATGATGAAAAGCAGTGGACAGTGCTGGTCCCAGGCCTCCAGTGCGAAAAGCAACACTCTACAACTCTCTCTGTTTCTGACATTGAAGCCAATTTGTATCCAGATAGCTAGATCCCCCTGGATCCTACATGACCTAACGTTACTAGCCAGTCTACCATGCGGAGCCCTGTCAAATGCTTTGCTGAAGTCCATATCCTGGAGAAGATGCTGAAGGAGGGGCACCAGACCTGAAAAGTTAAATCTGATTTCTCTCCACAGATGCTGCCAGACCCGCTGAGTTTTACCAGCAGTCTCTGTTTTCGTACTTCTTTTAGTTGCATTCTTAACATCTGCCTCATAACCTGCCTAATGAATAAGGATATAAAAGGTGTTTCCTCTGAGCAATTTTGGATTTTTTCCAAGAAAGAAGTTTCATTTCTAGAATTGTGATAGGGAAAATGAAACCTACTTAGGAAAGTTTATAAACTTAAACAAAATGTTACACTTGGCCTGGATGTGATGGTGATTCCTGTGTTAGACTTGGCTGGAAAAGGAAATGCTAGAATTATTACAGCCAACTATCCCTATTGGATAATTATTTTCCAGGTTGCTTTCTGCTCTTCATCCAGTGGTTTTGCTTGTTTAACTATTACTGATTTATTGTAAGTTTGGAAGAATGGAGAGGATTATCCCTAGATGAGTTTCAGTGTAAAATATTTGATTAGTTAAAGATTTGGAATTGGACTGTGTTACGTATTGTTGCTCTTATGGATAAACTGCATTGTAATGAATGTAATGTGGATTTAGTTTCAATTTTTTTGAATTTGCTTACATCTATTTTTGTAAACAGAACTATGTTTATTTCTCTTACAGCCATTTCATCCTCTTGTAAACTTGGAATGTTCCCGAGATCTACAGCCGTTCCTGTGTGCAATGTATGCCCCTGTTTGTACAGAGTATGGTCGTATTACACTACCATGTCGTAAGCTGTGTCAGCGAGCATATGTGGAGTGTAATAAGCTGATGGAGATGTTTGGAGTCATGTGGCCAGAGGAGATGGAGTGTATAAAGTAAGAAAACAAGCTAATCCTTCTTATCCAAAAAGGTGGTGAGACAAACATTTCAGAAAATGCTGGTGATACCCACCAAGTCAGAGAAGTAGGTAATGTTATTGTGACTAGATAAAAGATCTCGCCCAAAAATGTTCACCTTCCGTTCTCTTCCAGGCACTGCCTGACCTGTGGGCATTTAAAATATTTTCTGTTTATATCAAGTTTACACCATTCTTTAAGCTGTCTTAGCAACTGTCATATTATCTTGGTGAATTCAGAAAAAAAAAGCAAAAAAAAGCACCCTTCTCTATTGTATTGATCAGATTAAAGTTTATTTATTTGAATTGTCACATTATCTTAAATGTTGATTGTATTTACCCTGGAAGCTGATATATTGAGACTTTTCTTCCAGCAGTGCAGTGCTTGTGTTCACTAGACAGTGGGGAGGAAAGCTAAATCAGGCACCGAAGTTGCTGCCACCATTGGGTGAAGAGTCTACTGCAATGATGGCGCAAATGTACATTGTTTCAGAATAACAGTTATAAAGTATCAGGATTAAGAGCTGCCACTTAACTGGAGTAAAGTTTTCTGATGGTATTTAGGACTTACAGCATTTAGACAGATTTCTCCTTTAATCATTGGTTTTAAAGCACTCTTAGGTATTCTCGGGTTGTGTGTGCCCTTTCTTCTTCCTTTCTTGTTGATTTTGGGGGGATTTGTGATCACAGTTACCGAAGATAGGCAGTTGACAATTTGTAAACAATTTAGATATGATGCTTTAATTAATTTGACAAAGTAAAGTATCTAACTGTGACAATTGAGAATGGTTCACTGATGCCAGAGGACAAACAAGTTGTTGGTGTGGAATGTGTTGTTCTCATTAAAGTTGTGAAGGCAGTATCCTGCTCTTTAGCCAGAGTGTTAGAGAACTCTTCTCTGAGTCTTCCTCCCCTTCTTTTCATCCATATTCATCGGGAGAACATAGCTCTCTGAGGGTCACCTGATGAGGAACACTGCATTCATTTAAAGGTTAGTTTTCATTCCTTCTAAGAACCTTATTTACAAAAACATTGCTCTCGTAGTAGTGTGGCACCTGACAAAGGTTATAGCTCTGCTGGTAAAGGCTCATTACTACTGAAACAGTTAAATGAAGTCTCCTGCTATACAGGAGATACTAAATTTGGGGTACTAAAAGCAGACAGTTTTAAAGGGGGGGCCCCCCAATTTCCAACATTCTTTAAATCTTTACCTGTAGCAGCATTACAATTAGAACACCAGAATTTCTTCCAGCTATCTGGCTGCCAATTTCTGCAGATAGTAAATAGCTTTGTGGAACATCCAACTGCTGCAGCATCCACTCTGCATCCAGCATTAGCTTGTTTAAAACTGCCCAAACTTATTTAAGTTTCTTGAAACCACTAGCTGCCAATCCAGGATTCATGCACAAATGGACACTGCCATTTGCAGTTCCAGCCATCTGCACATTTGGTACTTTTCTAAAAGATTTTAAAAAAACTACCTCTGGGCTTTAACAATTTAAGAACATTGCAAGTAAATGCCAAAGTTACTTTCACAAAGTACTGTTCTGACAAAGAACCACCAACATCTTTTGGTGAAGGGTTAATGTATTTATCTTTCTAGAGAAGAGCCCTGTGTGGATTTCTAGCAATTTTTCTTAAAAAAGAGATAAAATCACTTGCATTTGGGTTCTATCCTTTCTCCTACCTTTGGTATGAAAGGCGTTGATTAGTCATCATCTGGATACAGTAATAACACTGGAATCTAACGTCATGCAGTTTTCAGACTTTGTGCCTTGGCAACTTAAATTCTCCATTTCAATTCTTTCTGGTTGCCAGTAGCACTCACAAGCATAAATGTTACTGCTAATTTTATTCATAATTCTCCAAACAGAATCTTTAAATTGGGATCAATAATGAGACTTAGATACCCAAATGTAGAAAACTTGAGTAATATCAACTGATTTTCTAATTCACTTTTTCCATCCCACAGATTTCCAGACTGTGATGAAGCCTATTCACGCCACACTGACTCTCTCTTGGGTGGTGATCCCACAGAGGAGGCCCCAATGGCAGTGCAGAGAGACTATGGTTTTTGGTGCCCACGTGAATTGAAAATTGATCCTGAGCTTGGCTACTCCTTCCTTGGGGTCACAGACTGTTCACCACCCTGTCCTAACATGTACTTCAGACGGGAAGAGCTTTCTTTTGCAAGGTACTTCATCGGTGTGATATCCATCGTTTGCTTGTCTGCTACACTCTTCACCTTTCTCACATTCCTTATTGATGTGAAGCGATTCCGCTATCCAGAACGGCCAATCATATTTTATGCAGTCTGTTACATGATGGTTTCCTTGGTGTTTTTTATTGGGTTTCTTCTAGAAGACACAGTTGCATGCAATAGAAATGATCCTTCAGTTTATAAAGCATCTACAGTGACACAAGGTTCCCACAATAAGGCATGTACCATGCTGTTTATGATACTTTACTTCTTCACCATGGCAGGCAGCGTCTGGTGGGTCATCCTGACTATCACATGGTTTTTGGCTGCTGTTCCCAAATGGGGCAGTGAAGCCATAGAGAAGAAAGCACTGCTATTCCATGCAAGTGCCTGGGGAATCCCTGGAACTCTCACGATCATTCTCCTTGCCATGAACAAAATTGAAGGAGACAACATCAGTGGTGTTTGTTTTGTCGGACTATATGACATTGACGCACTGCGATATTTTGTTTTGGCTCCCCTCTGTCTTTACGTGGTGGTAGGTGTTTCTTTGCTACTGGCGGGTATAATATCTCTGAATCGTGTAAGGATTGAAATTCCACTAGAAAAAGAGAACCAGGACAAGTTGGTGAAGTTCATGATCCGTATTGGGGTGTTCAGTGTACTCTACCTTGTGCCACTCCTTGTCGTAATTGGATGTTACTTTTATGAGCAAGCATTTCGTACTGTATGGGAGACAACATGGATTCAGGAACGCTGTCGTGAATATCACATTCCCTGCCCTTACCAGGTACGTCAAATTTCACTACTTAATGGGTAAAGAAAGTAAAAATGGCAATTGATGGCTAGTTTCTGAGATGATGAACTTTTCTGCAATTTGTGACTAGTAACTTGATTACAGTGCTAACACTACAGCTTCAGATTATATACACTGATGATTTACATTGCTGTCTAAAACTTTGTATATGCATGTGAGTACGTGTACCATAAGTAGAAAATGTTATCTGTATGCTAGAAATCATAACTAATATTTAGGGAATGCATAATTATAAAAGGAAAGACGTGCATTCATATAGCATGTTCCCTGATATCAAGACTTCCCAAAAGTGTTTCATGATCAATGAAGTACTTTTGAACTGAGCGCATTGTTGAAGTATAAAACTGTGGACAGCAAGCTTCCACAAACAGCAGTAAAATAAATGACCATAAAATATGTTCTAGATGTTGGTTGAGGGTTAAATTTTGGCTGGGATACAGAGAGAACCCTGTCCTTTAAATTGTGCCATGAGATATTTTCTGTTCATCTGAAAGAGCAGATAGGGCCATGGTTTTAAGTGTCATCTGAAGGATGATGCTTCCAACAATGCAGCCACCCCTCAGCACACTCATTGCAATATAAGACGCAGGAACAAGAGTAGATCTTTAATGTGTGTTCACCATCAGATCTTTCCTATATTTAACAACATTTGTTAAGAACCTTGCCTCAAGTTTGAACACCTGGAAAAGAGTAAGCCTACTTGCTTGTGGTGTTGTAAGCCCTATTTCTACACATTGATAATGGAAAGAATAAGAAAGAATATCTGGGACACACACATTTGGAGTTTTCGAGGAGTAAGTAAAGAGAACTGAGTACCAATGACCACATGGTAGGAAGAAATAGGTTGCGATGTACTGTTTATTATTCGATGCAGTGTTGCTTAGAGACATAACCTGACTTCCACGAATTTCAAGATACTAGATAGTTCAAATTCCAGAGTACAATTATTGTTTTGAAATCACACCCATATATGACCTAATTGTTGTAAATATTGGCTGATTTCATAGTATTAGTTTTTTCTGAAAGCTGATGTTTTGATAAAACCAGACTGATTGCCAATGTTTGTGTTGAAACACATGATATTTGTGTGATAGGTCTATGTTTGATTTATTGATGTAATTATGGTAGAGAAATGAGATTATGTGGATTGCAGTGTCTGGCTCCGTTTTATACCTGCCATATTTCAATTCTCAATACTGCAAGTTTCACTTAGGCGGGCAGCCGAATATGCATACTAAGCTAAATTAACTATTGGACTGAAATATTTTTCTCTGTGATTCAAAAAGCAAAATGAGACCGGGGATAGTTTTGTGAGTTTGGCTTTTGGGAACAGTAGACAGAACTGAGATTGAATTCAACTACGGAAACCAGATTATACCAGAAGAGTGATAAATTCTGAACATCAAACCCAACTACAGTCATTTTTTAAAATTGTTATTGTTAGGAGAATCCTTTTGGAGTTCTGTGGGTTTGAAGATGCAAATATCCATTATCTTTAAGACTTCCCCACCACCTAGATCCTTGGATGTAAACTTCAAGATTGTCACACCTTTTATGAAATTCCTCATAGAATGATGGAATCAGTACAGGAGAGGCCCTTTGGTCCACTACACTTCTACCTACACTAATCCCACTTTTCTGCACTAGGCCCGTAGCTTTGAATGTTGTGACATTTTAACTGCTCATGCAAATACTTTTAAAGGTTGAAGTTTCCAGTTTCAACTACCCTCCCTGGCACTGCATTCCGAACCTCTACCACCCACTGGATGAAAAAGCTTTTCCACAAATCTCTTCTAAATCTCTTGCCTTTCATTTTAGAATTATGTCCCCTTGTTATTGACCCTTTGACTAAGGCGAGCAGCTGCTTTCTATTCATCCTGTTCATGCCCCTCTTAATTTTATACATCTCTTATCAAGTCTCCCCTCAACCTTCTTTGCTTCAAAAGAAATTAACCCAAGCTCATCCAGCCTATGTTCATAGCTGATATTTTCCATCCTAGGCAATATCCTGGTGAATCTCCTTTGTACTCATCTTTCACGTAGCTTGATGACTAGATCTGCTCACAGTACTGTCAGCTGTGGCCTAATCAAAGTTCTGTACAGCTGCAACATGACCTCCCTACTGTTATCCTCTGTGCTACAACTGATAAAAGCAAGCATCTCGCATGCCTTCTTAACTACCCTGTTAACCTTACCTGTCATCTTAAGGGATCTGTGGACAAGTAACCCAAGACCCCTCCACTCCAGTGAGCTTCCTTGTATCTTGCCATTTATTGAGTACTCTCTCTTGTCTTGTTCCTTTTTTTCAAAGTACACCACCTCACATTTATTATGGTTAAATTCCATTGGCAATGATTTGCCCATCTGACCAATCCATTTATATCCTCCTCATAACACCGTCCTCTTTGCAGGTGACACAAACATATTTCTCGTCTTCCCCAGCCTCCCAAACCACCACCACCACCACCATTCTCCTCAACATCAGTTATGAATGTCACAAACAATAATAACAAACCACTGATCCCTGTGGTACACCAGTCACACCAGGCTGCAGTCACATAAACAGCCTCCTACCAGCATCATCTATCTCCTGTCACAAAGTCAATTTTGGATTAATTTTGCCTAGTTACCCTGGATTCCATGAGCTTTTACCCTGCCATCACTACAGATCTAGACTGTGATTGTGTGACTGCATCTCTGCATTCCAAACTGCATCACCACCATATGTTCCTGTCTTGGATGTGTCTGACTTCCTCAGTTGGTATATTGACACACCTGGGAACTGCACAAAGATCGAGGAGCCCATCAGAGTTTAGACCAACGTGACAAAGTCATGGTAGCTCTCTAGCTCTGAAAGTGGACGGTAAGTCAACAATCAACCTCCCTTCTCCCTCTGGCTTCACTGTCAGAGGAAATTGGCACTACCTAGTTGCACTCTAGGCAACCAGAAAAATTGTTGTTGCCGTTTTGTGAGGTAAAGTTATGGTAAAATTAAAAAGTAAATCTGGACATGTGGAAGCAGTGCTCCCTTTCCACTGTGAATAAGGACCTTACCAGGTACAAAATGTTCTTGGTGTTCCTGTATATGGCAGTGGTCTGGCCCATTACTGTTTCTGCTATGGTGATCACCCAAGCTGCTTTCTGATTCATCTATATGTCAAAAATGTTTTGTTGGTGTGAATTGTACAGACCTGTTGTTTAAAGAGAAAACCCATACACAATATCACCGTCATTCTGTTGGTCATCTTTGTGGCTGCATCAAGATGTACGTGGACCCTCGGTGCGCAGTACATGTTGAGATTCTATCATTCCTTCATTTTGGCAAAGTTGCGTCTGGCCATGTTGCTATTAAATGCTGCAAGCAGTTGGACAGTGCCACACCACCTGTCCCCCATGGAAGTGTTTATACAGAAAAACAACTTTGATACAATGCTTGTGGACACCATCTGACAGACATGTCCTAGATGCCTTGAAGGCAAAGAAGATTGTGGAATAAAATGGAAAGTACTGGAGAGCTCAGGGTGTCTGAAAGCCTCTTGGAGAGAGAAAAGGCATTAACATTTCAGAACTGTTGAAGTTATGTTTTTATTCCAGATTTCCAGCATCTGCACTATTTTGCTTTTATCAGAAAGATTATGAATTCCATTGGATGATTCCCTGCGTGGACTACGAGAATAATTTGACAGATTGCTCATCTTTCAAGTGGTGAGAAAGGCCTTCCCAAACAAATCCCTTCCACAAATCTGAAGTCCCCGTTCCTCCTCGTTTTGCCCATAACAGACTGTGTGAGGAAGGGATGAGCCATGACCTTACTGAATGGGAGAGCAGCCTTGGGGGACAGAATGGCCTACCTTCTTCTTTGAATGTTTGTATGATTGAAATGTGCCTTTGCAAAAAAGGTCTTGAGAGAGGTGTAGTGGATTTTTTCAAGGCTCATTCTGAGCAGCGCCATGACAGAGGACTGTGATGTACTGGCTGTTCTCAGCAACATACAGCAAGGTAAACATCAGCTGCAGTTAGAGAATCATTAACTCAGTCAAGGACACTCTTGGTCTGCTCAAAACATGCTGGTCTTCTAGTGCAAAGAATTGTCATCTGAGTGTTCCAAGGTCCAGGACTACGTGCTGAGGCCTGCACTGAATCATGGGATAGCTGCCAAAAAAGTACAATGAGGAAAGGTCACTGTCTAAAGCCTTTCAACTATAGTACATTGAGGGGCTGGAAACTATGGAACCTTTCTGTCTGTATGCCTGACATTGGATGTACATCATGAATATCAAGAGTATCGAAATTGAATTGAGGCACCTCAGCAGAATATGCCGAATAGAAAAAAGTTACATGTTGATTTTCAATTTGAAATATTTTGGAATGCGCTTTTTAAAAAAAAAAAATACATTTTTGGATTGCAACAAAGTGCAACTGTAGTGATTTCCTTCAAGGAGTAGGTGAATTGTTTCTTCAGAGAGCCAGCACAAAATCAATGGGCTGAAAGGGGTCTTTCTGTGCTGTAACTATAATGTGGTTCTGTGAAAACTAATCCTGCAGGTAAACAGTTGAGTGATTTGAAGACTTCTCTTACAGTAGGAATGGAAATGGAGATTGTTCTGCTTTGGGCAATGCAACACTATACTCTTCATTGTTTCCATTTGGAATTGTGGAGGAAGGATTTTTGCAGGTCAGGCTTTAATAGAAACTGTATATTCAGAACCTACTCCAATAGAGAGCATTAGGATTTCTTCTTTTTCCTTATTCCTTCCTGCACCAGCTCTTCCTCCACCATGCCGTTTGCTCTTCCAAAGCTATGTGGCAAATGTTAGTACTGAGGTTTTTCTATTCGACCATATTTTAAAAAAGGATATGAATATAGGAATGAGGCCACAACTAACAGGACCAGCATGTATTGCCCATTTCTAATTGCCTTTGAGATGATGATGGTGAGCTGCCACCTTAAACTGCTGCATTCCATGTGGCGT